TGTGCTTTATATAAATTATAATTGTAAAGGCATCCAAATTTACTTATGTTACTATTTAATGTACTAATAAAAATAAGTTGTTTGAGTATTAATGTGATAACATGTGACAACATCTCATGTAATCATATTAATTGCCGTAAAGGATAAGTTAATTATCCTTGAAGCTGTATAAATCCCTATTTATGTGAATAGACAGCGTTTGATGAATTACTACAAACGGCATAGCGAATGTCATCTTTGGAATATTAAGAATTTTTCAATTTTATCTGAGATTGAGAACCGAACGGAATGCCCTAGAGGTTTAAACTATTGGACATTCGATTCCTGGTCTGTCTACCCAGGTTCAAGTTTTTCTTGGATCTCTTATGCACATACTGGGATCATAATAATGTTAACAGATAATTTCTCATTTTTCTTCTGTCTCATTTCTTCCGTCTCATTCTTCTCAACCCAATCATCACGCACCCGTTCCCACGATTCCTAAAAGGAGACTGAATAGAGCCCTTCACCCTACCATCCGGCGTAGTCCGAAGGGACTTCACGTCCACCAGTGTTATTGAAACTCTGAAAGGTTTTAAAGTTTTTCTCAAATTGAGCCCCCTCCCGGTAAGAATAACATGAAATTAATTGTTTTCTTAACTTGATTAGTACCTACTATGTCTTTAATCGATGTGATTTAATTTGTTTTATATTTATTAGTTTATAATTAGTTCATGTTAAGAAGTATTTTATGAAAGGTTATAGAACTAGTTCGATTATCTCTTCAATTATTGTATGTTCCGTTTAAATCATTGACAAATTTTGCAAAATTTGGCTTACTGACCCCTAAAGATGTACTTGTTTATTTTGCTGCTGTGTTAGCGCTAACATAGAGCTAATAAATACTAAATTCAGACACATTACTCACAGCTACCATTAATAACTTAATCTGGCTTTTATACGACACCAAACACAAAACATGCATATTCGACACAGCAAGACATTTATAATGTTCTCAGCAGTGGAATATGGACGTGGCGGACGATTTGCTTTGAGTTAAAAACTATGAATTCACATTACGTGAAGTCGAACCTATAAATAATAGTATGTAGATTAAATATACAAGAAAATAGGCGTCTTAATAAGTATTTTTTGGGTAAATTAATAGAAATATAAAGGGAGACAGTAGCGCACTATTTGCTATAGGAAAAATCGAAACTTCAGATTGGAATATAAAAGAAATCGAAAAGAAAATTCATGAAATCATACACGGGAATGTAGTTAATAAAAAAAAAAGAAAAGGTTCCGAAATGGAACAGGGAGCAATTACTAGCACGCCAAACAAAGGTAGTGAAAAAGGGTATCTATTGTCTGTAGAGGCAAAGTTTACTGAATTTGACAAAAAGTATCAAGCAGTTGAACCAAAAACTCAAAGAAGGATCTGTAATGGAGCAAAGTCGCATCTATTACAGAAAAGTTAACTAGCAAAATACATGAAAACGAATCAAAGCCGATTGTCAGATTGAAAAATCCAAGGGGATCAGAATATTGCCACTTCTGTCAAAAACGTATTTATTTAATGATGTAATCATATCTGCTGAAGGTAAATTATTCCATACGGGCTCTTTTAGGTGTCAATATTGCCACACAAATCTTTGCTAAGGATCATATTTATTTGCTAGGTACGGTAATAGATTCTGCTGTTCACAATATTTTGGAATGCACGGGGAACTCTATTCTATCAAAATTGGACGAAAAGCCTCACAAAAAATTGTTAGGGATAATGCTCCACAACTTGAAAAATTGCAAATGTCAACAAGTGGAGTGTTAGGAGTCGATTTACTCAGGGGCGGCCTTAGTCATTGGAAGGTTCCGGGCGGGTAAATTTTTGCGAGGTAAGAGCGAGGCCCCGGGCGGTTGCCCTGTTCGTCACCCCCAAAGGCCGCCTCTGGATTTACTAGTCAAATGGATGAAGATGAACCACAAGACTGCGGACACGTGCTATCTCAATGACTCCTACGAACTTTAGGCATTTGGGTTACGTTGGCAGCATTGAAATATTTGAAACTGTACTTTTACTGTTTGTTAAAATCGTTTCTATTTTTGTAAATGCATTTTTCCATAAATATCAAAATTCCGATACAATTTATTGTACTATATGTAAAATTAATGATTTCGCAGATTTGGCTTAGTTCCAATCAAATTTTGTTTTGGTATGTCCTGCATTCGGTAGCTCTGGCTTAAAGATTTTTTTACCGTTAAGGTACACTGATGTAATTTATCGGTTTGCAACTTTTGTCCCTGACCCGGTAACGGTAAACCGTTTCAGGACCATAAAACTCCCGCAAGATGGTCTTAATCTTGCAGCAAGTTTGGAGTAAAAGCAGTTAAATACGAAATTTATCGCGAAAAAGGTTTGCTAATGATCATATTGTGGTGTCGTTTGCCCCGAGAATTTGCATGTCATTGGAGTACAGACCTCGTCAGACGGTTGGATCCATTATTGTGCTCTCGTCGGCAAAAGAATATTACATAAACAGGTTTTGTCATAAAGGAAGTAGTTTATCTTTACAATTTACATTTTACGCAAAGCTTTGCTTTCCAAATTGTTTTCCTATGCAAATTTCCCAGATGATTTAATTTTGTCTCAATTAAGAAATTCCCCGATACGGTGGCTTGTTTCTTAATAGGTACTTGATTATTGACCACTTTATGTGCTTTATATAAATACCGAACTAATAAGTAACTTCAATTACATTGATTATCGGAATCAATTCTTGGAAACGAGTCTAACTGATTGTCTCATCAATGTTAAGGGCAAACTTTTATAAACACACAGACGTTAGACCCACAGTCAAATAAGGAATTTGCAGAAAAACAATTATAATACAGTACAACCTCGATAATCCGAGCATGTGTTAGCCCGAACCTCCGCTAATCCGAACAATGAACACTAGAAGTCATAATCTGAACAAACCTTGATAGAAAATACTACAAATGGCGCAGTGAACGCCATCTGTAGCACGATGCTACATTTTAGGATTACGTATGCTCCAACTTGTGTGGATATCTACTTGCTGAAAACGAATCCCGGCGTAGCCAACCTCAACGTGATAGGCACGTTAGCTTAATCGAATAAAATAATTGGAAGTGGTC